CCAGGACTCGCTTTCTCGTACCCTGGAGTTTGCAGTGCAGAGGCCCCTGCCAAGACTTCCCTCCGAGGCAATATAAGCCCCGGGGTTGGTAAAGAGGACGGATTTGGGGTCTAACCAGGTTCTGGGTCCAGGATCTGCTGAGTGGCCTTGGGCACATCCCTCAGTCTGTGAGATGGGGGAGATGGAGAAGATGCTGACCCCACTTACGGGGTTCTTGAGGACCCCATAACTCCAGTCTCAGAATAAGCAGTAGATAAGAAGGTTAGCCTGGGAGAGAAATCACTGCTTTCGGCTCCATGCGGTCCACAGCCTAGATGTGCACATGGTGGGCCTCAGCTCAGTTTGTGAGGGTGCAGGGAACCACTTCCACCGTGGCTTCGGCACATTCCTCCTGAGGATGTATCAGGATGGGTCGTTCTTCCTGGTCACCCCTGCCCTGCCTCGGTCTCTCCTAGATGTCAATGAATGCATCACCGGCAGCCACAGCTGCCGGCTTGGAGAATCCTGCATCAACACAGTGGGCTCTTTCCGCTGCCAGCGGGACAGCAGCTGCGGTACTGGCTATGAGCTCACCGAGGACAATAGCTGCAAAGGTACAGCACGCGCTCCGAGTCCGTAAACCTGGTCTCCCAGGTGTAGATACGGTGCAGTGGGAAGGGCAGCTCTGGGGTCTGGGCTCCCGCAGTCCTGCGCCCTGTGTGGCTGCCTGGGCGACTGCCTGCTCATCTGCAGGAGGGAGCTGGTTATACCCACCAGGGTGTCTGGGCGGGTGGGATAGAAAGTGAAAGTGCTTGCCAGTAATGTTCAGAACACTGAAAAAGTTGACAGTAGTGCACCAGTACCGGTTAGTTCTGCTGTTAGGAAAGATTTACGTTCTTACGGTGTGGAGTCAATGATGGCAGATTTGGGTTTCTAAAAAGGCTCAGTGCCTGATTATTTAAAATCAAGACCAGAGATGAATTTCAGGTGCTTACATGTACTTTCTAAAAAAAAAAAAAAGAAAAAAGCAAAAAACAAAAACAAAAAAAACCCCACAACTGTTTTTGCACAACAGCTGCCTTCCATCCGAATCCAGGCTTCCTTGAAGTTCAAAGCGTATCCCCTTCCACTGCGTAAACACATGGCATTTCTGGCTGCCAGCCCTCCCCGCCAAGCCTTAGGTGTTATTTGGCAGATGGGGAGGCTCTGATGAGGATCCTTTAGAACACAGTTTTTGCAGAGCGTTTCAAGCCTTTCAGAAGGACAAATCCCCTTGTGTAAAAGTGTCACTCACTGTATCATGAGAGTAACTTCAAAGCACACATCCCTTCTGACATCTGAGGGCCACAGAGCAAGTTCTGTCCTCCCCACCCCCGCACACCAGCTGGGTGGTTTGGACCCCAAGAGCCCAGTGGCCAAGCCAGCTGAGTATACACATGTGACCATTTGACAGCCATGAACTTCAAGGGAAGGGCAGCCCATCACATCCTGTCATGACCGTAACCCTTGTTAATATTTGGAATATTGTGAAGGCTTCAGAATGAATATGTTTATAGAGACTGTGTTTGTTGCCACTAAGATAATTGCTTTATGATCTAAACTAAACATACACTTAGCCTGAATGAATACTAATATATATATACCTGCCAGGAAAATGCCAGGGTGATTTATTATAACAGACAGTTTGCCTCATAAGAGCCTTGGGAAAAAAGTCAGCTTTTTAAGTCTTTAGCAACTGGAGCACGATTTGGCTCAGTGAAGTCCTTTTTGTGTATGATTTCTCTATTAGAATGTTTTGGGTTATAGTCTGAGTAATGAGCATTAGAAAAATCTTTCTTGTGATTTTAAAGTGTTGTAAGATGCTTCTGGCAGGACTCTTGCTAACAATTTCCTTTTTTTATGATGTACCAGATATTGACGAGTGTGAGAGTGGTATTCATAACTGCCTCCCCGATTTTATCTGTCAGAATACTCTGGGATCCTTCCGCTGCCGACCCAAGCTACAGTGCAAGAGTGGCTTTATACAAGATGCTCTAGGCAACTGTATTGGTAAGACGTGTGCTGCCAGGACTAGTGGGTTATTCCAGGAGGGGCCAGCGATCTAGCCTTGGGGCAGGCCTCTGGAATCTGAGGGGCCGCATGGTGTACGAAACAGGGGTTGGCAAACTTTTTGTGTAAAGGGCTGGACAGCAAATAGAGCAAATACCCTAGCCGTTGTGGGCCATATGGTCTCCATCATGATACTCAACTCTGCTGTTATAGTCTAAAGCAGCCAAGGGCCGTCTGTAAACAAATGGGTGTGGCTGTGTTCCAATAAAACTTTATTTACAAAAATAGGCAGCAGGCTGGGTTTGGCCCAAGGGCCACAGTTGGCTGATCTGGGTTTAGATGAAAGAGCTTGGGTTTTGGAGTTAGAGACATCTGGTTTTAAACGGAGTGACCCAAGAAAATGACTTCTTCTGAGCTTTAATTTTTTCCTCTATAAAATGGGAGTAATCATAGTATCTGGCTTATAGACTTGAGGCCAGGATTAGGCGAGTCCTTGCGAAGTACTGGTACCCAGGAAGCACTTGGCGAGTGGTGATTCCTTGCCACAGGCATTTAGCCTATTAAAAAATTGTTTTAAAAAATACTTGGCTGGGCACAGTGGGTCACACCTGTAAACCTAGCACTTTAGGAGGCTGAGGCAGGAGGATTGCTTGAGCCCAGGTGTTTGAGGCCAGCCTGGGCAATATAGTGAGATCCCATCTCTACAAAAGATTAGCTGGGTGTGGTGGCGTACGCCTGTAGTCCCAGCTACTTGAGAGGCTGAGGTGGGAGGATTCCTTGAGCAGGGAGGTCGAGGCTGCAGTGAGCTGTGAGCATGCTACTGCACTCCAGTCTGGGCAACAGAGCAAGACCCTGTCTCAAAAAGAAAATAAAATATAAAAGTAAAAAATAGTCTGTGTTAGTATTTGAATTCATAGAGACAGAAAGTAGAATGGAAGGTGCCAGCGGCTGGGCAGTGAGTGTTTCATGGGTGCAGTTTCAGTTTGAGAAAAATGAAAAAGTTCTGGAGATGGATGGGGGAGATGGTGGCACAACAGTGTGAATGCACTGATGCCCCTGAACCGTCTACTTAAAAGGGTTACGATGGCATGTAAAACTTGTAGTTCCCGTGTAGTTCATTTGGTAAACATGTAGTTTACCACAATAAGAAAAGCAACTCTGGCCGGGCGCGGTGGCTCACACTTGCAATCCCAGCACTTTGGGAGGCTGAGGCAGGCGGATCACCTGAGGTCAAGAGTTCAAGACCAGCCTGACCAACATAGTGAAACCCCGTCTCTACTAAAAATACAAAAATTAGCTGGGTGTAGTGGTGGGCGCCTGTAATCCCAGCTGCCTAAGAGGCTGAGGCAGGAGAATTGCTTGAACCCGGGAGGCGGAGGTTGCAGTGAGGTGAGATCATGCCACTGCACTCCAGCCTGGGTGACAGAGTGAGACTCCATCTCAAAAAAAAAAAAAAAAGAAAGAAACTCTGCTGATATCAGAGAAATCCTAATATGAAAAGAGAGACTCTCATGTGAACTCAGTATTAATGTAGGAGGCCTGGGAAAGACCGCTTACGCTAGAGGAGCGGCATGGGGTGCGAGCGGGGAGCCGGCTGGCCTGGGTTTCTAGTTCTGGAAAGACGGGAGGTGAGTCTTGCTTTCCCCTGCCGTTGTCAGGTTAACTGCCTGGCTAGGCCACTGCGGTCAGCGCCTAAGTCCCGATCCACCGGCTTTCCCTCGGCCTCTGCTTGGCAGACGCTCCTGGGTCCTGCCTTTGAGGTCAGAGAGACTTTTTAGGAGAAAAGATGAGGAATCCCAGCTACAGATCACACTAGTCAGAACCGCTCCATCTGGGGTGGCCACATCACCTCTCCCCTGCCATGAGCAAGGGAGTGTAAATTTCTATCTTACTTCTATTTCAACTTTTTCTTAGAGAAATCTGTATTGATCGTTTATTTGAAATAGTGGTTTGGAGAGAGAGCTCTTCCCCCACTGCATTTTTTGAACCACCGAGATATTTAAAGACAAGTGGATGTGGCTGGGCGCGGTGACTCATGCCTGTAATCCCAGCACTTTGGGAGGCCAAGGTGGGTGGATCACTTGAGGTCAGGAGTTTGATACCAGCCTGACCAATATGGTGAAACCCGTCTCTACTAAAAATATAAAAATTAGCCGGGCATGGTGGTGGGCGCCTTGTAATCCCAGCTACTCCGGAGGCTGAGGCAGGAGAATCCCTTGAATCCAGGAGGCGGAGGTTGCAGTGAGCCAGGATCGTGCCACTGCACTCCAGCCTGGACGACAGAGCAAGACTCTGTTTCACCAAAAAAAAAAAAAAAAAAAAAAAAGACAAGTGGAATAGTGAGCCCTTAGGACAGGGGCCGTATGTGAAACCCGCCCCAGCCTTCCACTGTTACAGCTTCCCTGTCAGTCCCTGGGGGAGACTTCTGAGCTGGGGGCTGTGGCTCGGCTGCCAGTTGGCCCCTTGCCAGTCCCCTGCCAGCAGGGAAGGATGGTTGTTTCTCAGTGCAGGGGGTGGTGAGTAGGGAAGCCATGGGCTCTCCAGGGCCAGCGGGGAGGATAGTCCTGCTCAGACTTGCAGCCTGCCCAAAGGGGGGTCCGGAGGAGGCTGGCGTGGACTGCAGACGGAAACCCTGACTCATGGCAAAATCAGCCCCGAGGCAGCGTTTGCAAGTCTCAACCTAGCCCTGACTTTCCTCTCTACAGGGTGCAGCACTGTGTAGGGGCTGAGGCTCGGGAGCCATCCCCTCACTGTCCTTCCAGGACCAGCAAGCAGGCTGTGGGCTGAAGGCCAGCCTGGCAGCCCTGAGCTGTTCCTTGCCATCTCCCTGGGTCCTCAGTGACGGCATCAAAAGCCAAATGTTCATCTCCCTCAGGGTCCCCTCAGCGTGGGATGCCGGGATGGGGGTGGGATTCCCCTTTTCATGTGCTCTCAATCTTTGCAGTCAAGCTCAGGATTCGTTGTTTTAAAAGATCTCTGTTTATTTCAAAAATTATGTGCGTCTTGATGTACAAATCAGCAAACAAAACCAAACCTAAGTGTAGGAAGTAAACGCTCCTCCCCGCGATCCTGCCTGCCTCTTGGCAGAGTCCGTGAGCCCTTCAGGGGGCTCTGCTCCCTGGACCCTTTTTTTTTTTTTTTTTTTATGAAAATGGGACCCGACTGTTCTGTCACTTGCTTTTTTCCCCTCTTGACAGGGTACTTAGAAATCATTTCATGTCAGCACCTTTATGTTAAAAAAAAAACTCTTAAAAAACGTTTCCCTTAAAAAACGACTGCATCAGCAGAAATATTTCTTTCTAACGAGAAAATACGTCAAGATAGAAGATAGTTTCAGGCCGTCTGGGAGAGGGCTGAAAAGGTTCTATGTCAGGTCCTGGTCCCCCAGCACGCACCCTGGGTCCTCTGCTCCCACACCTCTGCCCGTGGTACCCGCTCCCTCACCCAGGAATAGCACGGTCCATGGTGGGAAGCGCCGATTCCCTTGTGTAGCCAGAATCCATCTTCCTAGAGCTCCGAGAACCGTCCTGGGATCCCAAGAGCCCCTCTGAGCCTCCTGCCTGTAGCAGAAGAGCTCTTCCTGCAGAGCTAGCACAAGGGGTGGGTCAGGGTTCCAGGAAGCAGAGGTCTCTACCCCTATCATACATGGAGAATTTTCTAGGACCTTAAGGTTGGGTCACTGAGGGCTTTGAGACCAGCATGGCTTTGTTGGGTTTTCTTTGCTCTTTTTCTTCGAATCCTCTCCTGCTGCTGCTGTCTTCCTTTCTCTTCCTCCTCCTCCTCTCCCTCCTCCCCTCCCCTCCTTCCCTCCCGCTCCTCCTCTTCCTTCTTTTCTTCTTTGTTTTTTTTTTTTTTCTTTTTTTTGAGACAGTCTCGCTCTGTCACCCAGGCTGGAGTGCAGTAGCACAATCTTGGCTCACTGCAACCTCCTCTCTTCTGGGTTCAAGCGATTCTCCTGCCTCAGCCTCCCAAGTAGCTGGGATTACAGGCGCCCACCAACATGCCTGGCTGATTTCTGTATTTTTAGTAGAGATGGGGTTTCGCCATGTTGGCCAGGTTGGTCTCGAGCTCTTGACCTCAGGTGATCCACCCCTCGGCCTCCCAAAGTGCTGGGATTACAGGCATGAGCCACCACCCCCGACCTCTTCCTTTCTTCTTGAGTGGGGAGGAGGGAATGGGCCAGGGCTTCCCACATGCCCCGGCTGACCTGTGCCTGGGATGTCGGCATGTCCTGGGGCAGGAAGGGGTTCCGCTGAATCTAGGAAGCACGTGGGGAAGCAAGTGAACAGGGACCTTGGCAGCTTGGGCTTTTCCCATGTGAATCCCTGAGAGGGAAAGATCGGGCGCCATGTTCCCAAACTCAACCGATGTTTTACATTGATTTTCTCTCTGTTTATTCATTCCCATTCATTCATTCATGCATTCATTCATTCATTGATAGCCAGGTCTTACCCCTGTGGAGCACACGATGTTCTGAGGGACACTGTTGTTCTGGGGAACAGAGTTTGGGGAATGCAGTCTGAGTGAGGAGCCTGCAGCACCTGGGGGAAGGCAGCCACCACTCTGCTAAACGCTGCGTTTATTCATGTTACAGGGCAGGGGCCACCCAGCTGTTTCTCTAGAGGGGCTAGATGGTAAATAACAACTTCAGTCTCTGTAGCAACCACTCAACTCTGCCAGTGACAGTGTAAAAGCAGCCCTGAGCAATGTGTAAGAGAGTGGGCCTGGCTGCACGCTAAGAAAACTTTATTTACAAAAGTAGGTGTAAGCCGGATTTGAACCAAGGGCCATCATTTGCTGGCCACTGATTTAAGGGACCTGGGAAGCAGGAGATCCTGGTTCTAGACCTAGGTCCCGGTTGGCTCCTGACTCCACCCATTCAGTCTCTGGACCTTGGTTTCCTGTTTATAAAGCGCAGGCAGTAATGATAGTGATACCAGCATCACCTCACTTGCGGGCTGGCTGTGGTGCTCGAGAGCGGTAATGGATGTAAAATCTTTTGTAAACTGTAAATTGCTGCACGGTCAGTGCGAAGACGGACTCATTTGGCTGAGGAGGGTGGACTTGGCTGGCAGGGAGAGGGGTACAGCTGTCCTCCTTTCTGACTTATGCTCAGGGGTTTTCTACCATCACTCCCTCTCTTTGTCCCCCAGCCCCAGATGCTTTGTAAGTGTCTTAGCAGGGTTCTCCAAGGTGATGTTTAGGCACTGAGGTCCTTTTCCACTCCCTCTCTCAGGATGTGCAATCTGTGCATTCTTCCTCCGAATTTGAGCAGAAGGAGGGAATCCATGTGTGGCATGGTCCTCCTGGACCGTTCACGGGTTCACACTTGCTCATTGTATGTCATCAAAGATAAATGCCCTACGGTCCTCATGTCAGAGGTATGTCCACTCAAGGAAGGAGACTGCCATGCAGTGAGCTCGGAGCCATGGCACCTCCCGGGTGGGTCTGGGTCAGCATAGGCCCTGTGAAGCCCAGTCATTGGGGGGGGCCTAGAGCCTCGCTGGGAGCCAGAGTTGCTGGCACCACGTGGACGATCACCTGTCTCCTTAACACCTTGCCCAGTGTGTGGAGTAGATGAATGCAGGAAAAGCCAGGCAGGCAGGTCCCGATTTGGCACAGCGAACGGTGGAGGTGCTGGAGATTTAGGGACAGGAAGAAGGCCCAGAGAGGTGGTGTTTGCGGCAGCGTGCAGTGATAGAATTTGGGAGCCAGTTGGGAGACGGCTGTGTGGTCCAGGGTGAGGGGGTTGAGCCCCTCCGTTTGTGATTTTGCAAAGAGGTGGGAAGGGGAATTTCTTTGGAGATCCAGTTTTTGGGTTCTGGGACACCTTCCAGGTTTAACCACGTGGTCTCTGTCTTTTCCCGCTGTAGATATCAATGAGTGTTTGAGTATCAGTGCCCCGTGCCCTACCGGGCATACATGCATCAATACGGAGGGCTCCTACACGTGCCAGAAGAACGTGCCCAACTGTGGCCGTGGCTACCATCTCAACGAGGAGGGAACTCGCTGTGTTGGTTGGTATTAAGAAAACAAATCTGAAATCCACTTTCCTGTCTGCTTCCAGCACACACCCTCCCTTCTCTGGAAGCAGAAAGTTGATCCCCAAAGCAAAGCCGTTTCTATCAGCCCATCCATCCCATTGTCAATTCCCAAGCATGGGGCTTCATTGTCTTGCCTGGACTGGTGCAGCAGAACACCAGCCCGTCTACTGCCTCAACCCTGTCCAGCTTGTCCTGAGCTCAAAGCTCTCTCACCCCGTCCTGTTTACAACTCCATCAGCTCCCCACTGGTGACAACGGACGGATGCCTCTGCTTACTGTCCAGTCCCCTAGAGCTGGGCCAATTCCACAAACCTTGTAATTCAGGCAGTGTGGGTCTTGCCACTCGCCACACAAGCACTGTCCTTTCCTCTCTGTGTGGGTGTTTGCTCTTACGTCATTCCCTCTGCCCACCTGCTCCTACGTTCCTTTGGATCCAGGGCACCCAGCCTGCCTAGATCCTGCCAGAGAAGGAGCCTTCCTCACATAATCCCCAGGACACTTCTTCAGTGTCTCTCTGGGTTCCTGGCCTGCCAGCCAGGTAGGGCTGCCTCTGGGTCAGCTGTCTCCACAGTCTGGGACTCGCACACATTAGGTGCTCTGTGAAGTCGTGTTGAAATGGAATGCCCGTTTCCATGTGCTCCTTTCTTGCTTTCCTTTCTGATCATCTTGGGGGGAAAAAACCCAAACTAAAGGTTTTCATCATGGCTTTCTTTCTCCTTTGCAAGACGTGGACGAGTGCGCACCACCTGCCGAGCCCTGTGGGAGGGGGCACCGCTGTGTGAACTCTCCCGGAAGTTTCCGCTGCGAGTGCAAGACGGGTTACTATTTCGACGGCATCAGCAGGATGTGTGTGGGTGCGTGGGGGGCCCACAGGCCTTGGGGGAACCCGGCCACGTGGCACCAGGGACACATTCTGTGGCATCTCGAGCGATGTGGTCTGATCCTCATCTCAGATAATCCCAAGTGCAGACAGACCCCAAGAGAAGACCCTGAGTCAGGAGACCCCATTCTAGTCTCAGCTGTGCTACTGCCCAGCCGGGCGGCCGGTGGCACAGCCCCCTGTGTGTGAGCTTGCTCCCCACCTGTAGAAAGGGGTTCTGCTCCACCCAGGACCTCCAAGTGCTGTTGAGCCAGGTCTACACATGCGGGCAGCGTCAGTGATTTCCTGGAGGTTCACCGCTGAGCTGCAGAGCCACCGGAGCTGGAGTGTGCCTTTAGCCCAGGGCAGTGAGGGGAAAAGTTGACCAGGAGTGGGGTCAGGTCCTATCCAGGCAGTGCCTGCTGTCACCAAACCTAGGTGCCCAGGGAAGCCTGGCAGCTGCCACCCCACTCCCCCAAAGCAAGCACTTTGCTAGATCCTGACAGACCCTCCTGTGGGCCCTGGGGAGGAGGACTGGCAGGAGGGCACAAGATCAGCTGTGCTGCCGCGGAAGGAGCACGAGGCTCGCCCGGCGGGCAGGCACACCGCAGCAGTCCCGGCTCTCCCACTGACTTCCTGCGTGCTTGGGACAAGTCACTTTACATTCCTTGTGTGAGAAATGAGGCTGGAGGCCGGGCGTGTGGCTCGTGCCTGTAATCCCAGCACTTTGGGAGGCTAAGGTGGGCGGATCACTTGAGGTCAGGAGTTTGAGACCAGCCTGGCCAACATGGTGAAACCCCGTCTCTATAAAAAATACAAAAATTAGCTGGGCGTGGTAGCCTGCACTTGTAATCCCAGCTACTTGGGAGGCTGAGGCAGGAGAATCACTTGAACTGGGAGGCGGAGGTTGCAGTGAGCCGAGATCGTGCCACTGCACTCCAGCCTGGGAGATAGAGTGAGACTCTGTCTCAAAGATGAAGAAAAAGAAAGAAAGGAGGCTGGAGGAGGTGGAGGACAAAGGACATGAGCTGGCCTTGTTAGGAGGGTGGAATGTGGCGCCACTGTGTTGGACATTGCCCTGAGCTGACCCACCCCTCACTTTCAGATGTCAACGAGTGCCAGCGCTACCCCGGGCGCCTTTGTGGCCACAAGTGCGAGAACACGCTGGGCTCCTACGTCTGCAGCTGTTCCGTGGGCTTCCGGCTCTCTGCAGACGGCAGGTCGTGTGAAGGTGAGGCTGGGGCCCCGTCCACTCACTTCCGCCACGTCAGCTTCCTCCTGGGGAAGCCACCGTTTTCCTGCAGCCTCGTTTGGAGCAGGTCTGCCTTGGTTTCCCCAGCACATGTTAAGTGACATGTTAGCAGGGGAAGTGCCTGTAAAATATTGTTCATCAGAGGGGACTGCCCGCCTGCCAGCCCGATGTCTCCTGATGACATCCGCCCTCCGAGGCCGTATCAGGGTTCACAGGCTGCGACAGAGGCCACGTGGGATGTGGCTAGGATTGTGGGGCTTGGAGCATGAGACCCACCAGTCACAGGGCCTTGGTTATGCCCGACCTCTCCCTGCCTCCATGTCCTCACGGGGGAGAGGGGTTGATGTTTGAAAGAGCAGCGAAAACTGGACACTTGTTTTGCACAAAGACCGTGTGCGGATTTTAATCAGATGCTGCCTAGGGGAGAGAGGCCTCTGTGTCCATTGATCTCAAGTCACACAAACAAAAGGAGGGAGGCTTTGCAAATGAGCCGTGAGGGGAAGTACTGAGGTCCTTAGGGCATGGGTCACTGATTAGGGCACCTGCCTCAAACTTCTTTTTTTTTTTTTTTTTTTTGAGACAGGGTCTTGTTCTATCACCCAGGCTGGAGTGCAGTGGCACAATCTCGGCTCACTGCGACCTCCGCCTCCCGGGTTCAAGCAATTCTGTCTCAGCCTCCCGAGTAGCTGGTATTACAGGTGCCCGCCATCGCACCTGGCTAATTTTTGTATTTTTAGTAGAGACGGGGTTTTACCATGTTGGCCAGGCTAGTCTCGAACTCCTGACCTCACGTAATCCACCTGCCTCAGCCTCTCAAAGTGCTGGGATTACAGGCATGGGCCACCGCACCCA